TCCATCAAAGGCACTAGCAGTGGGTGACAGAAAGGGTGATGGAGTAAAAGCATCATTCTCTGTTTGTTTGAACTCTGTGTATCTAGATTTTAACGGGACACTTATGGGAGTGTATACAGGTCTAGCTACAGGGTCAGAGGAATTAGCGATTCCTTTTAACCTATGGTCAAGTTCTTTGGCAATCTCTCTGTCTCTATGGGAAACAGATGAGAAATCAGATTTTCTTCCTTCAGAAATCTGATCTTGCCTGGGGGTAAATCTGCAAGATCTAGTGGATCTGGCAGTGTCAAATGATATTTTTACTGATCCGTCAGGGAGCTGTCTGATAGTCTCCAGATCAGTTGTTGTTGACTCGGCACTAGATTCCTTGTCAAAATTCTCATTCTGTACAGTCCATGACTCTGGTAAAGTCACATCTTTCCAAAGTAGCTGCTTTGGAACCTGGATGTTAGCCTGTGCAGAACTAGATTGAATTAACATAGTACTTCCTTTAGGACTTGGGTCAAGGCATTGTACATTTAAATTGGTACGAATACACTTGTAATAAATCCTGTAAATAAGTACTAAGGAACTAGTATTTTGTACTAACCTGGTAATATCGCCTGTGAGACGGATACCAAGAGTTAGTGCCATGTGGGTATTAGGACAATGGAGGTCAAGGGTAAAGTCTGGGAAGCAGTTAAAGTAGACTGGACCTCGGTGGAGTCCTGTCTCCATGATTCCCAAGACACTTGGTTCCCAATCAAGAAACCTCGCATCTCTTAGTGCTAATAAGGCAGCAGCATTCCTGCCTTGGGTAATAAGAGGCTTAATGGCCACTTGGACAAGACCTATGTGGATAAAATTAAATCCTTTAGTCTTGTGAATTTTAAGAGTCTCCTTACTGAGGAGCTCGCAAAGCTCATCTTCTTTTCTGAGAGGATGAACTTGTTCAACAGTTTTTACTTGGTGTTCTTCACTAAAGGTTTTCTGAACCCAAGTTGTACTATAAATATTTTTTTCTTTAACTGGAGGAATATTCCATTTCTTCCAGTCTGTTCTAGTTTCTTCTACTTCTAATTCTTCCTCATTTACTCTATGTGACATAGAATAATCTGAAGATCTAGATGTACTAGCTCTAGAATTAGATCTGAATAATCTACTCATTTTTAAAATCTAAATTGTTATCAAATTTTAAATTAATATGTAAAGACAACACTAGACATACCCCTTAACCTGGTTTTCTCTCAACTTCTCGCCTGCGATCCACTCTTTGCCTCACACGGGACTTACGGTCGGGATAAAGTGCGGCTTACGTACTCTTGATAGACTGGACTAAGGTTGGGTATAGTGTTCTTCTTACAAATAAATTTAAAATGAGAAACAGATAAAGATTTCTAGATGAGTTAGATGACTCAAATGAAATTGCAGAGGTAATACACCAGGCCGTCAAATGGCTCTGATACCAAATAAAAGGTCATGCGGAATTTAGAGGAACAATATATCATATTTTTTAAATAAAAGCTCGTTAAGTTGAAAATGGTCAAAAGATACATGTCTTGTATAAATAAAAAAACTATAAAAAGAAATATATTATATCTCTTACAAAAAATGAAAAACTTATTACATTTATTTATAATTGACGTCTTTTTATATTTTTATATTAAAATTACAAAGTTATCAAATAAAAAACTTAAGAAGTAAGGGTAATAATACACTATAATCCAATTGAAATAAGTCAATCATTAAATTTAGACAAAAAAGAAATCAGTCATAGGTTAATTGCAAATAATTTTATCTTCAAATTACGAATTTGGAACAAAAAAAAACTTACAAATATACAAATTAAAGCCAATTCAAAGTAAATAATTAAATAACATATATATAACATCAAAAAATTGAGGTGGGCCAGTGCCCCCCTAACCCACATTTAGATCCGGGTATTCTTGAAATAACATTAAAATAGGCTCAACAGTATTTTTTTTATAAGTGAATATATTATCGCTCCCTTAACTATGTGATTAGTATCGCATCACCATAATTATTAATTTTGATTACAAATTTAATAGAATATTATTTTATTTTATCTCTTAAACTATGTAATTTTTTTGATTTTGCTCTGATATGTTGGTAATTTCTATCAAAAAAGATAGTAGATGTTTGCGTTTGAACAATGTGACATAATTCAAGTAATTAAGAAGGCAATGTAATAAATTCAAGAGGCAACGTGAAATCAAATCTATAGTTTGAGGGATCAAAGTGTAATTTTCTCTTCTAAGTAATTTCAAGTTCCACCCATGCCACGAATAAGTTCTTTCCAGGCCCATTGAAACCCCATAACCAAAACCCTAGGGCTTTAACCCTCTCTCTCTCAGGCACACAAGCGATCAATTAATGGCGGACACAGTGATCTCAATGGAGAAGATCAAAGCTTTCTGGCACTCTCAAGTTCATGACGAAGAGAAGTGGGCTCTCAACGTGGTAATCTCTCTTCTCGATTATCTTCCTCCATGTGCCTGTTTTACGCACGCACTCACGCACGCACGCACGCACACGAACACACACACACACACACGAACACACACACACATACATTTGTTTGACTCTGTCCTGTGTCTATTTCGTTGATTCTATACCAATATATGAGGAAAAAAAAGGTATTGATGTTTGAAATTTAGGGTTTTGATGTATTTGTTTCGATGAATCATGGATGAGGGAATCCCTAGGGATGTTGTCCTCTATATGTTCTTTAAGTAGTCGTATTGATATTTGTCTTGTCTTCTCATTGTGCGGCAGATGGCGTCACATAATCATTGAGGATTTTTATGTTTAATATATAGGTTAAGCGCCTGTGTGTTCTACATGAAGTTTCTGCTTATTTTAATTGTGAATTGACCAACCAATTTATCATACAGCCATAGGCCATAGGTAATTGTTTTCGTGTAATCCGTTTTGAAGATATTTGTGTCAATGCGCTTTAATGCTTCAAATATGATGATTTTTTTTTGCCTTGGTTTGAGTAATATTAAATAGGTAAAGCCTTACTTGGGACATGTGTATGATGATATAATGCATAAAGGCTTGGTTATGGGTTTGTTGGGTGATGAGGCTTTTGATCCTTATAGCGTGTTACCCTTTTGGCAGAAGCAATGTCTTACCCAAAGCGACCCACCTAGAAGTTGATCGGGTGATGCAATTGTGAATTCTACTTCAATCGTCCCTTCTCCTCCTCCCCCCCCCCTTCCTCTTTTCTTTGTATTGGGACTGCAAACTCCTGAATAATGAGACAAAAAACTTACTCTTTTCGAGTGAAGTTCACAGCACCAAAAGGAGGACTTAAATCTTTTGAAAGTCCTAGCACCCCTGCACTGATTGGGACTGAAAGTGGGTTAATTAAAGGGTGACCTTTTTGTATGAGTTTTCTTTTCTTTTTCTTAAGTGGTTGAAACTGACTAGAGCTTTGAGTCACTGCTGATTCATTAAACACTCGCTTACTTGTGGTCTGGACTTGTTCTAGTAGCTTGGTAGTTGTTGCAGATTCATGTGAGGAGTTGGACGTCTGTCACAACTCTCCATGATAATTAAACACTTGAACTGGATAAACTTGATACCCTCCCACTTCAGTGGAAGTAAAAACTACTGTGATACTGTTTCTTCCTTTCGTGAAAAGCATGTGTATTTGGAATATCAGCTTAGGAACAAAAGAGAGGGAGATCTATATTTGAGATGATTCTTCTCTCTGTCACAGAGAAGAAGTATAGCTTTGGTGTTGTGAATACTGCTTACATTTATCGGCTTTAGTTGATATTCTGCTGTTGTTCCGGGAAACTTCTTGTTTACTAAAAGAACATGTGGAAACTAAACACTTGATGCCCGCTACTTAGTACATTATAAATGTTGTTTCACACTTGTTTGCAAGTGGTTATTTTCAGCTACTATCTCCAGATTATGAGTTTTTTCCATCTATTTCAAATATTTACCTTGTTTATTTTGTTGCTGTAATAAGTATTTTTTTTAATTAATCTTTTCTTTTTCTTTTTTTCTTTTTTTGCAGAAATTACTCCGTGCCGTAGGACTGTTTGCTGGCTCAATCATTTTGATGCGCCAGTATGGTGATCTCATGGCTATCTGAAAATTGAATGGAGGGTATCTACACATTGGATTTCATATAATCTAGATGGTCTAGTTGGGAGTTTCTTGTTCCTTTTTAATGCTTTTTTCCCCAAAAGAAGTTATTTCTAAGACATGAGTTTTGGTTTTGATAATGACATTGAAGTTAAAAGCTCAATATCCTAACTACTGGGGGTAATATTTATGCTCTCGTATGCTATTGGAAACGAATGAAATGATTTTCTTTTTCATTTGATGTCGACTTTCTGCTTTCTAGATTGCTCAGCTCTCTGGACAGTGGTACTCAAAATGTGCTTTGTTGGCGTTGATAGAAAATGAGGTGGTTACATAGAAAGGCATTCTCAATTGTAATGCCAGCGGAAATAGAACTGTCAAATGCGTTTGCTGCTAATTGCCTTTCAGACATTCTGATTCCAGTGTACGTATCAAATCAAAAACAGTTGATATAGCAATCCCCATGTATATACGCGTGTGCATGTGTTTGCATGTGTGTGGAGAGAGAGAGAGAGAGAGAGAGAGAGAGTCACTTCCAGCACTTAAAAAATCGCCACAACGATTGCAATTTTGAACAATATGAATAGACAGCAACTTATATGTACCATTGTGCCCCAAATAACTCTCAATTATTGAATATTTGGTGAAGTTAGTGAACCCATTAATCTAACAAATCATATTGATTTTGTGCAAAAAAATGGGTATAAATTTTGGAAGTGTATCATTATAAACACCTAGAGCCAAGCTTGTTTAAATGATCACTGACAACATGGTGGCTATTGTGTATTATCCTCTCATGACAAACATGTCTATTTGCATGTTGGAGGTGGTTGGTTATATAGCAAGTTAACTGATAAACTTACTTTACCCAAAATTAAGGAAAAGAAGAAGAAGATGTAACAGCAGCTTCATTCATTACCTCAAAAAAATAGTTTATTTGACAATAAATTACATTGTTAGAACTACTTCCTAGAAAATTCAACCCACTCCGCCCTATACATACCACGAATGCGTTATAGGGATACAACATCTGTGTCATTCGAGCAATGTCACTCAACTAATCACTCAAATCATCATCGAGGAAATTAAGATCAGCATCATCATCAGTGGCAGCACCAGCATTGGCAGGATTAACATCCAAGGGTTCTACTACATCAGCCAGAGTCACCATCTCCAAGGATCCCTTCCGAGCCTCTGCATTTCCATCCTCATAGTCCATCAAATCATTCTCATACGCATCAGCGAGTTCCACATCATTATAAAGGAATTCCTGCAAATAATGTCAGATAGATTAACTAACATGAAAGATAATTAGTTTCCATTTCAAATTTATGCCAGTACAACCACATCTTAGGCAAAATCAGAGAGATGGGATTGCACTGTACAATACAAAATAAAGGATAGGAGATGTAAGCTCAAGTCAGATTACACACTCATACGCATAACCTAGGTCTGCCTAAAAAAACACCCAAAGGTCATCATAAGATAAAAATAAATAGGCATAGCATGTTCAAAATCAGTTCAGACTTCACTGAACTAAATTCCCAGTTCCAAGGCCAATTATATCATATAATATACGCAATCTATTATTAACTTAGAAAACATTATAGATATACTCTGAAGGCCAACAAGATGTCAGCTCTTTGCCTATAGAAAACTGCTCACATCAACAAATGGACAGGCTACATAGTCATAGATACTGTTCATATCAAGTTTGGAAGGTAGGGGCAGATATTGGAGGGAAAAGGCCCAGTTCACATAAATACTGCCTCAGTTCGCAGCAACCACCAAGTTCGGTGGTTAAAAAGAAAACGAAAACCAAGAATTTTGGCTCTTGCCACAATATGTGTGAGTACTTGGATTATTAATTTCGGGTCATGTTTTTCCAACCAGACCTTTGTTTGGCCTAACAACCGCAGATGGGTTGCATTTCATTTCCCCATCTAGCCCATGTAGTGACCAACTGACAGAACCTTTCGAATCCAAAATATCGGCTAATTATACAAATCACATATCCTACTGAAAGACATGTGAACAATTGCATGAAACAGTCATCTAATTGGCATCTTTGAACAGAATGATAGCTTAAAAAAGTACCTCATCTTCTTGCAAGGCTTGTTTCTCTGTCTCTACAATCCAGTCATGTAGTAAACTTTCTTGCAGAACGCTATCAAGGGAGATTGCATCATTGGGCCTTCTTCTTATTTGGCGTTCCCTAAGTCGCAAGTTGTAGTGGACATAAATAAAGTCATTCAATCTTTTCTGTGCTAAACGGTTGCGCCTTTGGCCATGGATCTGATCATATATACTCCAATTATGCTCACAGCCAAAAGAGGAGCATGTTTGACTCAAAATGCGTACAGCTATGCGTTGAAGCTCTAAGCAATTTATGCCATGTTGTTGCCACCATGCAGCTAAAAAGGAAAAGCACTTGTCAGTTGAAATTTGAAATTGATAAAGGCAACAAATGTCTTGAATCTCAATGTATACATATGCATCCAACCATTTCCATGCAATTCCAAAAATGATGGGTTGTTGTTAAGCATCTTGATAATACAACCTGGATTAAGCACTGTCCTGGTACTTATAGCCAAGTCAGTTCCAAAATCAGCTTTAGCAGAACCAAAATCAGAAATCTGTAGACATCAAATAATGGAGATAAGACAGTAAGAAAAATTCATGACGGCAAGAAAATCATAAGCTCAATAAAGCACTTCGCACTTGCAAGGATGCAGAAATCCTTCTTCCACTGTCTGGCTCCAGTCGAACAATGCATGCATTTAGTCCACGTACAACCTCGGGATGCTACAATACAGCAAATGTGAAATAAAACCCAAACTGAAGTAGGACCCATTTAACATAAAACAAGCACCATTTTTTCTCACCGGAACAAAATCAGGACGATAGCGGTATGCTGGATTCAGGAAGTAAGCAGCCAGATATAGAGGGTGGTGGAACAATGGATTCCAACAATTGTCTATCACACTCCAAAATTCTCCATATTTACGTGCATCATCACCATGATTGGTTTTGATTGCAAGCTTTCCCCTGTACATATCGTTATAAATGAATGGCATCGAAAGGTTTTCATCACTATTAATTTTTTGAAGCGCTACCACTATAGGGTCTACTGATTTCCTAACATACTGCATTTTCTTCCAAAATGTGGCATTCAGTACAATTTTCTCCACCTCTTTACCCTCGTCCAATTTTGAAAACCTAGATGAAAGCCATTTATTGGATTGGAACAAACGCTTAAGGGCAATCCTCTGGTCCAGCAAATTCTGCAAAGTGGCAAAACTTGAAGCATTCCGTGTAACAGATGGCCTCAGAAGTTCCTGCCCCCCAGTAAATTCTTTTTTCATAACATTTAACAACCAGATTTGGTTGTAAATGAACTTTGTGATTTTTTGGCCTTTCTCTATGCACTCTTTCACCCATTTTATTTTCACAAAATCTTCGAGCATCCGGTCAATGCAAAAGGCAGCACACGGAGTCCAAAACAAATTCCTTCTTTTCTCTTCAAGCATCTTTCCAGCAGCTTCATAGCTGGGCGTGTTCTCAGTGATTACCTACAGTGGAGGGGGGTGCTCAGCTGATGCTCAAAGCTAACAATGACAAACTCTGCATAATTTGACTAATATAAACGGTTAAAGAGTTACCTGGACAACATTTTCCTCACCCATCTCTTCCACCACCTTGTCAAGCAACTTGAATAAGTATGACGCATCTTCAATAACATCACTGGCATCAACAGAACAAACAAAGTACATACCCCGGGGGCAAGACACCAATATATTGATCAATGTCCTATCCTGTGTATCTCTCCAGCTATCTGCCAAAATGGAGCAACCTGTGACTGCCCAGGAGGCCCTATACTCATTAAGGTAGCTTTTGATAGTTGCAATTTCTTCCTGTAGAAACCGACCAGATAACACTCGGCTAGAAGGACCCACCAAATCTTGTCCATATTGACCTACCAACTCCAGCATCTTATGGAAATATGGGGAGTTTGCCGCATGTGAAGGAACTCCTGCATGATAGAAGAACTTGCAAATTGCAGAAATAACTTCCTTGCGAGACTTTTTGCTAGAACCTGCTTTTACTTGTTGGCAAGATGTTTGCATCTGACTCTTTGGTGTCTTTAGAACAACATCCAATCTTGGTCTTTTGGATGATGGTTCAGAACCACTACCAGGAGAAATTCCTTTGAAACTTCTTCTTGAGTCTCGGCCAAATCTTTTATCTCCGATTAACAGTTTTTCATTATTCATATGATGTACAACATCTTCTTCTTCCTCTTCCTCCTCATCTTCATTATCTGAGTGCATATAAAAAGCTGATATCTCCTTAGTATCAGGTCGTCTATGCCTCCTTCCTGTTCGGTGCCATTTCATATTTTCTTTTATTTTGAGATACACTTCCTCTGGAGCATTTTTACAAGGTGCAACTTCTCCTGGTATTCTAGCTAAATGCTGTTTAAATCGATTGATACCACCACTAACTATTTTCTCACAATAATTGCATTTCACCTTTTTCTTCCTCTCATCCTGAGGAACACCATGTTCCCACCCAGGGTCAACGTATCCCAGTGACCGAAGAGGGGCTAAATTTATAACCAAACCTTTGTCACCCACCAATTGCTTCCCTTTGTTTTTATAGCCAACACTCTCTTCCTCCTCCAATTCATCATTGGCATGGAAATTCAAATAGGCTTGTTCATCATATTCGATTTGCCTTGTTTTTTTACTAAAGCGACATCCTTCTAGATTTTCTCTCATTTTCATGCATACCTCCTCTGGAGCCTTATCACAATAGGTTACTTCTCCAGAAAGCCGAGCTAGATGTTGCTTCAATCTGTATATCCCACCACTAACTACTTTCCCACAATAATTGCATCTTACCTTCTTCTTCCTCTCATCTTGGGCAACACCATGCTCCCATCCAGGGTCACCAAATCCAGAAGAGCGAAGTGATCCCATTTCTTCAACCATTTCAGGAACTGTCGAGCAGCTGTCTTCACTGTAATCTGATCCAACTTCTGGTAATGAGCAGAAAAAATTATAGGGAAAAATGCTTAAAGACCCATCACATAAAAATTTCAATCCAGAAAGGCAAAAAGCCAAGAGTTACCTACTAGAAACACATCTAACAAAGCTATTTTTTAACAATAATAGCCTTCATCACTCTTTATGCAAATTGAGCAACAATGATCATAAATGGCGATGGCCGCGGTGACAACGATTCAGTAAGATAATGATGAACCATAGAGGATTACTCATTACACTAATTGATCGCCATAGATTGCTCAACAAGATAACGACACGCCCAAAAAGAATTATAATAACTTAATAAGTCTCCATATATTGCTCAAGGTATTGTTTTATTTGCTTAACTGCTCACTTTCTCCATAAGTTGCATATTTGAAAGTCATAGCAACCCCATGAAAGCTCTCATTGATATTGAAAACAGCATTGCCAGAGGATCATTTGCACCAGGTCAAAATATTCGTCTTTAGGTATTAGATGTTTAAGGCCTGGGTTTTTAAAACAAAAGGAAATAATTTTGGTATTTTCTTTGTAAGGTTTCTAAGTACTTCTCTGAAAAACATAAAAAAAACTAGACTACCTGTGTTCATAAATTTTTATTGGATACCTGGATTTCTAAAACAAAGGAGAATAATCTAGGGATTTTTTTACGGTTTCTAAGTAATTTTCTCAAATATATAACAAGGCCATCATTGTTCAAAAATTCATCAGATATTACAGAAATTCTTGTAGAGGATCTAACCAATATGGAATGCATGTTCAAAAGTAGAACCAACACTGGATTTATATTCCACACTCAAACAAAATCCTCTCTGTGCAATACCAAAAATCGGACATTAGTGCAATATTTATATTTTAAATAGCTATTTTTTTCTTTAATTACGCAATTTAAAATTAGAGTGATAATAGAGAAAAAAAGAGATAGGTAGGGGAGAGAGAAGAGAAAGACAGGTGTGGTTTAATGGAGTTGTTTGGCAATGGGGAGTGTGTTAGTTGAGTTGTGTGACATTAGGAGCCGTGCAAAGAAGATGATGTTTTTGAGTGGGGAAAAAAATTGAAATGAATTTTCTACCATTGGATCAAAATAAATGAAAATTTAATCAATCTTGACTGTTGCACTTTTATAATTTGAGAATTCAATTTTCTAACTGTAATGTTAGATAGATATAGATATATATATACAAACACACATACACATATATACATATACTCACTGGTTACAACTACAGTACCTATCACTTTTGCAAAAAAGATAATAGTTTACTTTAGCATTGCTTAATGTTTCAATGAATTAGAAATTTTCACTATGAGAAGATAGGAATTACAATTGCACAGGTCAAAGATCGATTCACGTAAAGCAAAAAATAAGTGGAAAAAGAGAAGAAAATAATAAAAATATGGCCTCCAACCCAGCTTTCCCTCATACAAGCAGGATTTCGATGGTCCCAACTCATCCTTCAATAAATGGACATATATATATAAATCTATAATTTGTTTGAGATGAATATTTTTAAACCAGGAAAAGACGCTGAAATTCAACTAACATTGATGAAAAAATTAGCAGCTGATTGTTGAATTATATCAGAATTTGTAATCCGCTTTATTCTTTTAGCGTTGTCAATCAATTAACTCTCAGTCTACCACACTGCTAGCAGGTATGGAAATTGAATTTCATTATGTTTTCGTACAGAATTTAAAATGTCTTAGAATCTCACAGAAACTATTGCAATATTGAAATCAATCAATCCCTCTCTAGCTTATAGGTTGATTAAGTGCAATAGAATGAAGAAATCTCAATTTTTTTCCTAGACATATATTTTTATACATGTTAGAGCATTCAACCAAAAACTAATTGTAATTGGCAGAATTAGTGTAATGAAAAGCTCGCCTAGGCGAGAAGCGAGAAGCGAGGCTGTCTCGCCTTGAACAACCAAGGCGAACCGAACATGATTGAAGTGATTAAGACGCGAAAAAAGCGAGCGGCTCTCGCTTAAGCGAAAGGCGATAAAAGTGACGCCTTTGTTAAGTTTTTAAAGTTATTTTATTTTTTAATTATGGACTGTTGGATTGTTTTATTTTTACTATGGACCATTGGATTGGGGCAATTGTAACAAAATTGTGAGATACTCATACACCCAATTACCCCCTTATCCCAATATATAAAACACCCAAACCCTAATTTTATCTAAAGGGTCAGAGGACTACTACTACTGCTCCTTCCTCGCTAGTCCACAAGTTTGCCTCCTCTTCTTCTTCTCTCTTTTGTTTCTCTTCATCCTATTTCTCCTCTTCTTCTTTATTTCTCTTCTTCTTCTTCTAGCTCCACAGCTTTGCATCTATTGCTTCTGTCTTCTTCTTCGACAGAAAACACCCACACACTGGTACCTGTTTTTTCTCTATTTCTCTCCTCCTATTCTCTTCTTCTTCTTTTTTAATTCTTCCTTTTCTTCTTCTTTGACAGAAAATACAGTATCTACTGCTTCTCTATTTCTCTTGCTTCTCCTGTTATTTCTCCTGCTTCTACTTCGACAACTGAGGTACGTTCTCTTCTCTCCTCTTCTCTTCTTTTGCTGATTCTTCTTCTTATGGTTCTATTTTCTTCTCCTCTTTTACTTCTGGTTCTAGTTCTTCTCAGATCCTTCTTCTTCTCTTGTTCTACTTCTGGTTCTGCTTCTGTTTCTCTTCTTCTGCTACTTCTTCTTCTTCTCTTTTCTGCTTCTTCTCTTCTTCTGATTCTGCTTCTCTCTGCTTGATGTTGAATTTTTGTAAATGCTTATTTTGCTGATTCTACTTTTTTTTTTTTATGCTTTTGTTGATTTTCTATAATGCTTTTGCTTATTTTTAGTACTGCTTATTTCTGCTGATTATGTACTACTGATTATGTGTTGCTTATTTCTGTTGATTCAGATTTTTTATAATACTGATTTTACTGATAGTAGTGCTGATTTTCTGTAATCTTGAATACTAATTTTTTGTAATATTGAATGCTAATTTTCTGTAATGCTGATTTTTTTGTAATACATTTGAACTTGATTTATAAAATTAAAACTTAGATATTTAGAAGTAATTAAACTACAATATTTACTTCTTTTTTTTAACTGTTTGCTTCACTTTGATGAAGCGTTTCGCTTTGCTTCTTGTTTCTCGCCTAGACTTTTGGACCCTTGATCGCTTCAGTTCACTTTACGCCGTAAATAACATTGGGTGGAATGCCTCCCAAGTATACAAGCTAAACTTGGGTGTAACTTATCTTTTGATGTCATATACAACCTTTCTTCAAACACTCCTTAACGTGCAACCCGAGCACATATGTGGACAAACAAATAGAAGTGAAACAGAAAGATGAATATACTAAAACCAATTGATAAATAGACTGGTTCAGAGACTTGTCCCACAAGCCTAACTTTGATACCATGTTAGAATATCAAATCCAAAACCAATTAGTAATGGGTGAAGTGATCCTCTCAAGTATATAAACCAATCTTGAGTATAACTTGTCTTTAGATATGGAATACAAGCTTTCTCCACACTAATTATTAGTAAATTGTTCTATGTAATGAATTTACTTGGGGTAAATATAATTAAAGTTAGTGCTAGTTGAGAAGTGTGGTTTTCGAATTCTCAGCTCACAGCTTGATGGGGATCGTATAGGAATTGCATAGATATTTTAGATTAATTATGAGAGTTATTTGGATACTTTTATTATTTATCTTTTAAGTATTTTTTTTTAATTTTTGAGGGTTTATTTGTCATTATTTATGTGTTTTAGGGTTTTCATTTTCCTATATAAAGGGATGCATGTAACAGTTTTATTTAGATTAGACTTTGATTATTATTGAATACTGATATTGCTTCATTCTCAAATTCTTTCTCTTTTCTCATCCCTTTTTTTTCTCTTCTTATCCATAATTTTTTCCTTCTTAGTCTACATCAATTTGGTATCAGAACCCAATTTCGATTCGTACAAATTACAAAAATCACATCAACACTGTTCATCGAAAAATACTATTCATCGCACGCACTGTTCAACAACAAAACTGTTTATCGTGCCAAAAAAAAAAGAACTGTCCCAGAAGTTACAAAATCACCCCCAAAAGTTTCAAAAATTACAGAAATATTATCCAGAGGTTCTAGAATTGCAAAAATATCCCCAGAAGTTCTAAAAAATGCGTAATCATTCCCATAAAGTTTCTGAATTTTAAAATTTCCTCAAAATAAAGCTTGAATTATGGTATGCATACTCCTATAGAAATTTGTAACTTATATTTTTATTCATTGAAAAATTAAAAAAAATTGCAAAGGGTCCAAAACATTTGTCAATTACATTCTTGAACTTGTTTTGATGTCATTCCCTTATTCCAAGAGTCACTCGTGAGAATCTAGGATGCCTTTAATCCACATATTTACTCCAGTTTAAGAGTCCTTCCTCGAGGTCATCATCATAGTAAGTCTAGGTATGTCCACAAGGATTCAACACCTATGACCAAGTCAATTAAAGATCATTCTACATTTTGTGCTACTCCGAATTCCAATCAATTCTTGAATTAGTTAGCTAATTTAAAAGAATATTTTGATTGGCATGACATGTTAGATTCCCATTGCGTCCATTTTACTAAATTGATGTTGGAGGGTTCTGCCAAGCAGTATTGGCAAGCAATCCAAACAAGCCTAGACCCCTTAGGGGAATCACCTATCACTTAGGTTGAAATGAGATATAGATTGAAAAAGAAGTATTTGCCTACTTCCTACATGGATCAAGTTTATGTCCAATGGCTCAATCTTAGACAATAGTCTTCTAGTGTCTCTGATTACTTTGCCCAGTTCGATTATCTCATGTATTTGTGTGACATTATTGAAGAACCTTAGACAATTGATCAGTTTATTCTTGGGTTGAGACAAAAAATTAGTAGGGAGGTCAAGCAATACGCTTTTAATACGTTAGTTGCAACCTATAAATATGTTCTAAAGGTTGAGAGATTTCATAAGAAATCCAAC